GGGAGCACGTTACTTGCTTCTTCCCTAACCCACTGTAGTGTGGTACCTCACTGATTTGCCTGTTAACCCTCATTAAGCAGTGTGAGTTCTGGGATCCTTCCTTAGATATTTCTAACAGGTGGTGAAGTGTCTGGCACATAGTAGATATTTTGATTTTTGTTTTTAAAAGTTTTGAATGCCATAGTGATAATTTTGTTTGTAAATTCCTATAGAGTCTCCTGTACTTACTAAAAAGTTTAGGTTCTGAAAGTCTGTTTTTAAGTCCACTTGTTCAAAAATCCAAAGTGGGGGATCAATGTGAACATATCCATGTAAAGTTTTAAAACAGCTATATATTGTTTCTTTAATTTTTACTTCTTATTATCAGGGTAAACCCTTTTACATCTTTTGCACTTAAGAGAAGTGATGGAGTCAGTGTTTGTAAAACCTTTCAAAAACAAGTACAAATGCAATATAATAAACCAACAAAGGACTTGGTATACTTAAATGACAAGACACAGCCATTACTGTTGTTTGATGGTGACAGGGAAAGCACTTTTTTTCCTCCTGGCTTCTTTATTATTGTCTTTACAACTCCCTAAGATCAAATAACCAACAGAAGAGGTTCTGCTTAAATTGCACCCCTCCTTCACGTATATATGTACACTTGGGCACATGCAGACACACATACCACAGATGCTTTGTAAGTGATGGGCTGCCCTCAGATTAGTTTGGTTGGAAAAATCAGATAGAGGCTCTTTTCAAAACCTATTTCATGCAAGGCAGGCAAATTGTGCCCTCATTTTCTATTGTCTCTGCCTTCATCTGTAATCAGCAAATGGAGCCCTGCAGCCTACACAGTGTTTCATCTGCAATTTGTTGCTCTCCCCTAGTTTGTGAAACACCGAACCATCTCATTTTGAAATTCAAGAGTGGCAGAGGAAGCCTTTGGTGGAAGATTGTAATTTGGGAGAAGGGAAAGTCAAGAGCAGGATCACCTAATTTGAAGAAAGACTGGGTGTTGAAGGGAATTGTCTTGGTTAGTCGGTCTCTGAGCCTCTCTCTCAGTGTATGTGCTGCTGTGACCCTGCCCTCCATCACCAGTGACCTAAAAATCACATAATTTCAACTTCAGAAAACCTGTTCCCATCTGTTGTGCATAACTTGTGCACTTACCCCCTCTATTGCCAGCAAATATGTCTAAATCTTTTTACCTCACAGCTAGCCTTCTGTCGCTGGCTGGCTGGCTTTCTTGCTTGCTTTCTTGCTTCTTCTGTGATTGTCAAATGAATGCCTTAAAGCATTTTTTCCAGATCTCTTCTTTATCCTTCTGCCCTCCTCCCTTGCTAGTTTGCTGAATAGTTCCCTTGCTGAGTATGTGCACAGTCATCTTATTTTCAAAAACCACTGCAGATAATTCTGATAGTCATTAATTTGCTTTGGGAACCATTAGCCTACACCATGATAGACTAATGACTCCACAGGCCTTTGAAAATCACGGTTCATCCATCCTAGAAAGTTATTTTATAAACCAGACAATTTTCCTTCTTATATTGAAGCAAGACTTTATAGGCCACCCAAGTTTCTTTAAGGAAATTCTTAACTTAGTTGCTAATAGTTTGTTGGTAGTGGGTTGGTGGATGGATATATGTACATAATACATTACATAATATGTTATCATGTGACAAGTCTTCAGAACGTTATAAGGTGAGTAGTTTATAATCAGTGTATTTGTCTTTGATTCTCTTTGCTTATAGTGAGCAGTTTTTGTCATTTCACCCCCAGACTGTTGTTGAGAAGTTAAGTGATTATTTGTACTTCATACAAACAGTAAAGGTTTATAGAGGGAATCAGCAAACAGCAGCCTGGCTTTTTCAGGAATTGTTCCAAAGGGTCTACAACAGTAATTTATAAACAAAACTGTATCTTTGAAAGAATAAAGATGCTCTCTAATCTTTGAAAACCGCTTACATAATAAAAACTTTTTAAAGACTCCATTTCTTCTTTACTTCTTAAGCTACCGATTCTATGCACACTTTGATCCTCTCCCCCCCCCCCCATCCTCCAGAGTTGAAAATCTCAGTATTAATTGGAGCTGAGATGATTGTACTGCTGCTGCTAAGGCTTCGGCAGTTCTCTTACAAGCTAATGTCACGGCATGGGGTCCATTTGCTCTGTGTAGCTATTCTGCGGTGCAGTGAGAATGCCTTGATTAATATGCTACATGAAAATAAAATGGATTTGGAAAAAATTATATGACACTCTCATAAATATTAATTCACATTTGTATGGAATTGCACATAATTTTCAATATACTTTGGAGCACCTTCAGTATGAAAAAAGATTTTGTCTATAAAGAGAATGGTGTAATTTTTTAAAAGCACAGCTGATACATTATTAAATATCATTTGTTTATTAATCCTGTACGCTACATGCATATGATGCTAGGGCAGTAGGTGGATTGTATGACCAAGAAAGGCATTTTTTTTTCCACCCCGTGGAGAGTTTCTATATTACCCTTAAAAATGGTGCAATTTAATCATATTATATAGAAGCAGCCTACAATGGGACTCACCTGGCTGCTTCAGCTAGTGTTGCTATTATACCTGAGTGTTTTGTTTTTAATGATAACTGACTAAATTGGTTACATGTGAGGCCAGATTCAAAGCAGATGTCTGATATAGCTGACTGTGGTAGTGGACACTGGACAAAGGAATAAACATAGCAGGCATTTATTGAACAGTTACCATATGTTAAGCATAGCGTGCGAGATTCTGAGACCGTGGAATCAATGCTCACGTGTATTTGCTTCGATGTCAGCTTGTCCCTTAAACACTTGCTCACCACGTCCTCATTGCCTTGGGCAAGCTGCCTCTGCAATGGCCAAGGGTAAATCATCTGCAGTGGTAGCAGCTAGAAGTGAGATCAGAAGCCACTCACTAGCCTTAGAAGATTGTTATCTTTGGTATCTTATTGCCGCAAAGATAAGGCCTTTCCCCTTGCTGTTTTCTGTGATCCTTCTTGTGTGTCAGCAGTCCTTGCTTATTTAGGTTCCTTAGTTTCCTGCTTCTTTCAACTTTTCTAGCTTGCTTCATTCACTCTATGTTAGAGGCAGCTTGGGATAATATTAAATCACTATTGTGCTTTATAGATTTGTAGACTTCAACTAGTTGTCTTATTTATTTAGCAAGCATATTTTTGACCATCCATTAGTTGCCTGACTCTATACCTGAAGCACTGGGGTTACTGATACTTAGTACCTGACCTCATTCTTTCAAAGAATCATGCTACCAGCTGCCTCAGGGCCTTTGTACAAGCTGTTCTCACTGACCAGACTTTCAGATCTAAGTCAAATGACAGTCATCTCCTTAGCCACAAGCCCCTTCCCTGGAGTAGACCATTTCCCCCAGTTTTAGCACCCTAGCACTGTTTACCTTTCCTTTGGAGCTGTTCAGTTTGCAAATATATATATATATATTTGTGTCATTTGATTAGTATTTGTCCCCTAAATTCTAAGTTCCATGAGGTGGGGATTTTTCCCCCACATGATTGTTTCCCCAGCAACTATGGGACAGTGCTAAGTTTGCACTTGGCATATACTGGGTGCACAAAAAATATTTGTTGAATAAGTGGAGCCCTGAGAACAGTGCTTTGCATCACAGAATGGTCTCCCTGAACTGGCAGCCCTATGAAGAGTTCTTGAACTAGAAAAAGGAGGGGTGTGGAAGGGTGAGCTTTTGAGGCCAAGGCAAAGCAGATATAAATAAAGTCCTAGATCCCCACCTAATGGCCTTGGTTGATTTGGGAAAAGACATCAAGGAGCATCATGTGCATCATGTGGGAAATGCTGGGATATTGGGAAGAGGTAAAATAGGTAACTGCCCCAAGAATACTGGCTATAAAGGGGAGAAAAGCGAGAGTGGTGTTTTGAGAATGAGAAATGGATGAAAGGAAATGTTTGTTTTTGTTTTATATTTTACTGATAAATGTACATTTAGGACCTCAGAAGCTGTGTGTGGATGAGGCTCCAGGTAGGAGCAATTTCACTGTAAAGAGGAACATTTCCACTTATTAGCAAATGATTGAGTGCCAAATCATTTTAATCTTAGTGCTTAATGTGTACATTTCTCAAAGTTCAAAGGACATTCACACATAGCATATCAGGTCGTATCTGAGCCCATTTTGCACATGGGCTCAAAGTTGCAGTGACTCATTTCAGGTTTCATAGTGAATAATGACAGTGTCAGGGCTCGAACCCAGGTCTTTTGATATCTCAGTATGTCCTGACCTGCCTGCAGGCACAGACCTCACCTATGTCACATGACCTGAAATGCTTGCCTGCAGTTTCTACAGGTGGTGCTCCTTATTACACAGCATCCATTGTCCTTCTCCTATCCTCCTCCCTCCCCTAGCCACACACAGGAATAAATGAAAACTTGCTGTTGATTTTGGTGATAATATGGTTGTTATATTTTTCAAAGAAGATGGGAATTAAGGATGCTCAGAGGAACTTGTGGTAAAAATATAATGCATTAAGGAAACATTTTAATCATATGAATTGACATTTTCTTTCTTGCTGGCTCACATCCACCTGGCCCTGGCATAGTCAGGCTTGTACTGCTTTAAATTGTGCAAGCACTTAGTCCTCCTTTTCTGAAACGTAATTGATGTACCATCTTGGGAAGTGAGTGTATTAAGCCTCTTTGGGGAATAGTGTGTGTTAGACCCAGTGCAGCATCAGATGGAAAGCTACTATCCCAGGCAGCAGTGAAATCATTTTAATGGACAGATACTTTGCACTTTGTTGAGCTTTCTTCCCAACAAGAATAGAAAGGATGTATCTTTGGCATTGAGGATTCAGAAAAATTGAGAGCCATGTTTCTTAGTTTTAGGTAGTCTCATAGTCCACTTTCCTGCCTTTACCCCCTCCCTCTTCATAACTCCATCTAGCCTGTATTTTGGGTGTGACGCTAGATACCTATGTAACCACCACTTCCCTTTCCCTCTTTTCTTTTCTACAGAAAGATGTAGCACTTAAGCCTCAGGAACGCGTGGAGAAACGCCAGACCCCTCTGACCAAGAAGAAACGAGAAGCACTTACCAATGGCTTGTCCTTTCACTCCAAGAAGAGCAGACTCAGCCACCCACACCACTACAGCTCAGACCGGGAAAATGACCGCAATCTCTGCCAGCACCTCGGGAAGAGAAAGAAGATGCTGAAGGGACTCAGACAGGTGAGGAAGCTTAGGGTTTGTTCCGTCCTGTGACTGCTGAATTCCTTCCTTCCTCAGGTGCCTGCTTGCCTCTGTGGTTCTTCCTCACAGGAGGAGAAGATGCCCTTCTGGGGTGCTGGAGGGCTGCTCTGCTCTGTGTGTTTGCTTCTAAAAGAATGCACCAGAGCAAGTTCGGTGTTTTTATTATGGTTTGAAACTTTAGCGTGGTACCTTTTCAGTCACATGTGCTCTGTAACGAAGCCCATTGCTGGTGCTACTTGCGTTGAGGGCAGACTGATAGAAGTCTTGGTGATAGTCAAGGTAGGCTGTCTTATAGGGAGAGATCCTCTGGACTAGAACAAAGGGAGAGGGCAGATTTGATCACATACACTGTGTATCTCAAGGTTCTGAGGTGCTAAAAATGGTTGTCTGCATACAAGCAGTACCCTGCATAAGATTTATATTTTCCAGGGAAGCTCAAATACTGTGGCACGTGGGAGAGCAGAGCTGAAGAAATGAGCTTGTCCTTTGGTTCTTTAGTTGTCTTCCGTAGCCCATAACTCAGGACTGTCTTTGTGATCTGCTGAGCGAATGGAAGTCTGGTAGTGGGCTTACTGGGCTGTTTAATAATTAGGTTTCAGTGATCCACAGGAAGATACAGCTTGTGGCATTTGGGGAGTCTTTCTGCCTCTGGAAATCCCCACATGAGACAGATTAATAATGAGACATGAAACTGTTTATAGCAATTTTTCTGCACAAATCCGGAGGCTTTAGCACCTGCCGAGTTACCTGTGTCCTGGGTGTGTTTTGTTTGTTTTTGGCGGGACCACGGGGTGGAATTGACTATCACTTGAAGGAAGCAGAGGAAGGGAGTGTGGTTCACAGAGCAGGTGCTGCCAATTAGAAGCTTAACAGGTAATTTCTAGTTTGCAGATGTTTCTCTGAAGCAGGAGAAGATCTGGGATCACACAAAACAGTGGTACCAAAACCTCACAGATCATTAGAATCATATCATGAGCCTTATTAAACACATATTCCTGGCTCCACCCTCAGACCTTATGAATCAGAATTGCTATTAGGTGGGGCATAGAAGTTTGTAGTCTTAGAAATTTCTTATTTGAGAATGGTCAAACCCAGTTTGAAAATCATTCTTATAAAAGCACCAAGAGCATATATTTGATGATGATTTTTAGATAAAAGATTGGAAGGACCAAAAGCCTCAATAAGATTTAGTGGGCAGTTTGGTGTCAGAGTTGAACCTGATGGGTAAACATCTGAGAAATATCTTGAGTGATGGATTTCAGGAGGACCTCAGGGAAGTGTCCCCAAATCTGACATGCACAGTGTTTTCCTGTGTCCCGAAATGCAAATGCCAGATTGGAGTTATAATATTGATTATTAATATTTATCTAATGCATAATACATTACAGTCATTCAGTAAGGGAGTTTGTGTAGTTATAATCTACAATTTTTCCAACTACCCTGGTTAGTATATGATATTATGCTTACTTTACAGATGGGAAAACTGGGGCTTAAAGAAATAAAGTGACTTGTCCGAGGCTACTTAGCAGTGAGGGATAGAGCCAGGGTTTAGACCCAGATTTCTCAGCCTTGCTGTTTTCCTTGTGTATTCTGCTTCCCTTGTTTGAGATAAGGACTCCAGGTCATGGGATACAGGGAATCTACATGTATTTTTAGAAACTACGTGCGTTGGTTTGGTCAGAGGAAGTGATTGTGGTCATAGAAATGGCCTATGAAAGCGGAAAACAGGATAAACTACCAAGTATGGAGAGCAGAGAAGGAGCTTGGAAAGTTGCAGGTAACAACATTTGGATGAAGATTAAAAAAAACAAAACAAAACGAAAATTTTTTTTTTGGACAGAGAGTGGGGTGAGGGAGGAAGGACTAGGTTTTATACAAGATAATGTTGCTGTGGTATATTTTTGACTCCCAACTCCTACCTTTTCATGTGAGATATGTGGGGAAAGTGATTATTCCCAGTGGAGAGAGGTTGCAATATGACCACCGCCTCTCCTCGAGGTCCTCCCTTCCCAACAGGGTGGGAGGAAGGCTTCTTCCGTTTCAGGCAAAAAATCAATTTAATTCTGAGACTACAGGAAGCTGTTGTTCCTCATTCTTGACTCTCTTACTCCCAGACCTGATCTGACTTTTCTGTTGTCTGTCCTCAGAATCCTTCTTTCTACCTTGTCTCCTGGTCAGAGTTTATGATCATAAGAGAAAGCCAGAACTTGTATATCTCAGATTTAAGTAGCTTTTTGGTCTTAATGATTAACCTTCTAATACTGTTATTTGAAATCAAAACTATCCTTGTTTTAGGGAAAATATTTGAAAAACAATTAGTTTGACTCGCTTTTTATGAATCATAGAGAAGGGAAGAATGAATCGTATCTTTGGCCTTTGTAAGAGTTTTAAAAACAAGTGGTGTTTTCTTATCTTCAAAGTTGATCCCAAAATGTCCTATCCCATTCAAGTGTTAATTTTTAGTAGGAAGGAAAACAGAAGTTGATAATTGAGATAAAGTCATATTACTTTTGATTTGTAATACTCCAAGCATAACATGTGCTATTATGAAACCCTAACAAATCACTGTTACTGCCTGTCAGTAAAATGAGAAGTTTGGACTAAGTCTCTTAATTCCATGGTTCTTTAAGTTTTTGAATAACACAGAGATACATAGTGTTGCCGAGGTCTGTAAAGGAAGACCATAGTAGGTCTGAAGGTAATTTAGTTTTGCAGTTGGTAACTGATTAGCTCTGAGAAGACGTTAAAGGAGAAGAGTGAGATACATTCCTAGTGTGTTAGCCCAGACAGGTGCCATCTGTTGTGTGATTCTTGATAAAGGATGACACACAAGTGTGTTTCATGGTCACAGTAGATGTTCCCCAGCTTGTGCTAAGAATATCTGAGATTGCTTCCCTATCATGCCAGATGAATGTACACATCACAATTATTTTTTTTTCCTGTCTTTGCCTCTTACAGGATAAAGTAACTGAATCCTAACTGTCTTAGCTGGGAGAGGATGAGAATGGGCCTTGAGGAGAATTTCTTAATTAATGGATTGTTGTCTAGTGCCTCTCGTTGACAGATTTGTAATTGGAAGAGCTACAGATTAAAGAGGGGCAGTAGGAGGTGAGAATTGAGTCTTCAGTTTTGACTTGGTGAGAGTGGATTAAGTTTGCATCTTATTAGGAATTGGTACTCCCTAAGCAGGCAGCTTAATGCACAGCTTTCCTGTAACTGTGGGAAGATGTTACTCCTTCATGGAGAGAAAATAATAGGCTTTTTTTTTTTTCCCTGAGACTTCATTGAAGGCAACTAATCTTTTTACTGTGAGAGCGCAATTATATACTTTTATAAGAAAGATGTGTAGTTATAAAACCAAACCGCTTTTTCCTTCTCTTGTCTGGTTATAAAACCTCAATACTCAAGATGTTTTTCCATACTGTTAAAAGAAAGTGTTTTAACTAGCACTTATCCACCCCAGTGGAATTTATTTGTTGGGTTATACTTTTAAGTATGAATGCATACCGGCTTAGAAGATGCTGAGTTGGCTGCTGTCTTGTAAAGTGATTGCACTTTTTTATGAGGCAAATTTGAACACTTTTCTTAATTTCCAAAGGGGTTTAAAAAAATTAAGAAAGGAACAAGTTAACTGTTGTACAAAATAGTGCCTATCTTTCTGAGCCCCTATGCCTATGTCTGTCCTACACAGGACTATTTGCCCATGATGTGAGTACTCAGATACTATATAAAAAAGTTTGGCTCTTACTAATAAGGATATGGTAGATTTTTTTCCCCCCTACTTTCACTTAGGAGTGGGAAAATCAAAACAGAGGTTGGTTGATAGGTCCGCTGCATAAGGATCTTTATTCTCTACTTGGGTAACTGCTGAAGAGCGCTATGAAGTCATGTGCTGCCAAACGTTCTAGCCAAATCATAACTTCCTCACAAGCATTTTGAGAAAACTTAACTCTTCCAAGGGCTATGGGTTTAGTTTTCTTTCAGTATGTCTAAGTTCTAGACCACAGGGGATACTTTAAAAATTTAGTACTTTGTAGTTGAAAACACTGAGAGCAAAGGGGTTTTAAAAATAGAGAAGTGATGAGGAAAAGTTGATGGGAGTTCAGAGGATTCTCAGATTTGGTCTGAGTGGGTATTTCTAAATCTCCATTTAGTCCATTAGTCTATCTTTTCTCTCTTTAGTACGAAATAGGCTTAAGTGAACTAGGAAGAATTTTTAGGTTACATGACCACTTTTAACTAACAGATACTAGGATAGATAATCAAAACAAATCCCAGGGTCTCCCTCCTAACTTTTTTTTTTTACACTTTATACTTTATTTAAAATTAATAAAATGAAAAACACAGTTATAGGTAAATGATAATTCAGTACATTTAGCTGGGTAACAAAAACGTTACATATTCACAAGTATATAGATACTTCACCGACACTGAGCAGTTCAGTCTATGTAGTCAAAGTCTTCTGGAATTCCAAAATTTTTATCAATTTTATTTTCTTCGAACCCAAATTTTCTTTTGGCCCAAGATTTTATTGCAAATATGTTATCAGTCCATCTGTTAGCAGCTTCTTTAGCCAGTATATTTGCTTGACGTATTTCTTCCACAACTTGTGGGTCACATTCTCTGTATTTTTCTACTTCTGCTTTTAGCTGTTCCCTTTGGTCTCGAAGTGAAGAAAGTTCTTTTGTTAGCATGGTTCGCTCTTCCGTTTCATGTCGGCCAATTTTAGCCTTCTCGATGCTTTTCTGTAGGTTTGCATGCTTTTGGTTTCCCTCAGATAACTGAGATTCCAGAGCCTCCAACTTACGTGATTTTAGGTGACAAAAAGCCATTTATTTAAGGACAGAATTTCCCAGAGAAAGAGGCAACCTGTTGAGATTGCTTCTATCCATAGGAGAACAAACACCATTAAGGGGGAAATAAAGGAATCTGGAAATATTTCAGGAGCCCAGCAGTTAAACTCTAACCTTACTGGTGAG